AACAGGTGTTTCTGATACTGGCAGGCACTTGGGTATCCAAGGTTTAAAGATGCTGAAAGTGTTTCTGCCAAACAGAACTACCCGTGCTGCACAGGGGTATGCAGCTAATCAGTCTTCATTAACAGTGCATCCACAGAAATATCAGAAACATATGTTGCTCCTTTTTCAGCACTATCATTTGTCTCAGCTGGACTCTCTTGAGTATCTTTGCTGCAAATGCATACAGGAAATAGGCATTTCCTAGCACTACTTCAATGTGCTCCCTACCATCCAGACCGTGAACCTTCACAGTATTTCCCTGGAAATAAAACCTTACACCCATACCAGCCCAAGTCAGGTATCTGTAGGTTTAAGATGGCTTAAGCAACATTCAGTGCCAGGCTCTTTAAAAGGAGTAAAGGGAAGGTCAAAATCAAATTAACCAGAACTGGGTCCTGCGTTGATCTTTCTTACTGTCTATGTTTTCTCCCTTATTTCACATTATGCCATTGGTAGGTTTCATCCTAGCCAGACTGCATGCAACCAAAACAAAAGGACTGCTTGAAACTAGCGAAAACACCTTTGTAACCAAATATATAAAGCATTGTTCAGAAAGCCCATTCTGCTGAAGAAGCATAAGAACACAGAAAGCACAGAAAAACTTGAGTTACCTGTAATGAGTCCCTTCTCTGCACTCACATAGAAGTGTTCCTACAGTTTTCCTGCTGGCAACTTGGAGAGCTTACACTTTTATCATCCACCTGTGCTCAGAAATTAAGTATTTTTTTTTATCGCCTGTTCTGCTAATGGCATGAAGCTTCAGGATCTGAATAAAACAGCAAATTGTTATTAGAAGTGGAAAAAAGATCAAATGTTCCCTCTTAACATAAAGCATACAGTCTCTGCTGACCTCACATGAGATTCACTGGTACTAACCATTAAGGCTGTCACACTGCTACTGAGGTAGGTGAGCCCAATTCACTACTGCACTTGACCTTGTCTGTTGAACTTTACTCCCCTTCCTCTTCTTAAGTCTTTCCTTTCTTACATGTTAAAAGAAAAACATGTAATACAAAAAAAATTAATTTCTATACCTTTTTCTCAATAGCCCAGTGCTCACAAATAAATTTGGAAATAACAATGAAATTTTCCCCACTATAACACAGTAGGGTCAGAGGGTTAAATATGTGACCTAATCAGCACCCTATGCAAAAAAGAACAAACTAGATGTGTTATAAGCCCTGGCAATTTCTAAAGAACATTGCGCTCTCAGCAAAGTCTTTGAACATTTTGCAATGTTACTTGATAACTGCAGTTGGCAGAAATTAAGCAGCTGAAATGTGTAGCTCTACTCATAGGATAGGAAGCTCCAGTAAGCTAAAACCATCAACATTTAATTACTGAAATATGCTGCATGATCCAGAAAAGGCCCAAAAGCTGAAGCTATTGCACTGTGTAGCTCACTCAGCAAAGCACACAGCTGGTCTGTAAAAAATGAGGAATGCACATGGCTTCTGGAATAGTTCAGAAAATCAGCTATAAATCAGTACAGATTACTTAATCAGGAAAAAGGAAATCATTTAGTTGAGAAGAATGAGGATAAATCAGAGGAATACACAGATTAATCAACAAATTATAGTCTCATCACCAAGAGACTACATTATGGGGGGGAAACCTGCCTGGTGATTGAACAATAAAAAGCAACTGCCAATGCTGAACTAAGAAAGTATTTGCATAATATAAGGTTTTCCTTAAAGTGCAGTGCAGCTCAGGGAAGCAGGTAAAGGGGACAGCAAGAAGACAACGACTTTCCCTTTTTCTTTCTTCATGCACTAAAAAAAGATATGACATCCGAAAGACCTTAATGCTTTTATGAAAAGAGATGCCTTCCAAACTCAAGGGCATTATAATCCTTTATATGTGACAAATATACTCAACTTTATTACTTGGACAGTGAGGAGTCTATGGAGGACAGGAGGATATTGTTCCCTTCTTTGTTTACATTTACATATTTTGCATTGTATAGCACTTGCCATTGAAAGATCTTGGAGCACTTGCCAAATGTTAGTGATTTAAAACATCAAAACACTCTTGTAGAAGTTAACATCTATTCTCCTATCTACAAAAGTAGGCTCAGAAAAACAAGAGGATCTGCCAGAGCATAACCGATTAGTAAAATGCTCAAAATAGAACTTGGATTTGATTCTCAAAACCAGGAATTATAAATGACCATACAAGTCCTCTTAAGGCACAAGTTTGTCAGGAATTGAATATGGCAATATTAATCTTACACAGCTGTTTGAAGAACATGTATATTTAGGCAGAATAGAATTTTAATGGGAAGAAATACTGTTTTTGTAGAAAATCTCTCACCACACAAAAATAGTCAAAATCTCAGTGGGATGTGAAAGGCCATTAATCCCAGAGAGGACAAAAAGTTCATTGTTCATCATAGATTACTTACACTGAGAAAGAAGCATCCACTATATAAGTTATCAGGTCAGGTTTATATCAAAATTGATTTAGCTTTGGTCTGTTAGTTTATGAGATATTATGGTATCATCAAAGAAAACTGAAGGTCTCTACAGCTCAGAGTTTAAGCCGTGTCTCTGTAATACACCAGAAACATTGATGTTTGTACAAACTTCTAGGGACTGAATGTCTCACAACCATGTTTCTTCACGTATTCTCCCTCTTGCTTCCTTTTACAGGTCAAGAGCTTCTTCTGAAATTCATTTAAAAATAGATTACATGGAAATATCAGGAACATTTTTCTAAACTAAACCTTGATTTAAAATGAGTTTTGATCCAAAACTGCCATGAGATGGAGCGAACAAATCAGACATCTTTAAACTATTATCAATGTTCCTTTGTGGCAATCAAGATCTAGACCCTACCCTCACCACAGCTAGCATGTACTAAGAAACAGAGCTACCGACTGTTTTGTGAATGAGTTGAAATACCCTTTTCAACATCTTAAGATTTTATTTTAGTCATATAATTTGAGAACTCGAAAGAGGAAATGCCATTTACAAGTCTAAATGAACAAACTGAAGACCAGTTCTTTTCATGAAGACATGGGGGGGAGGTCTAATAAGTGGGAGGTCTCCCACTAGGAGTCCGCAACAATGCGTCTCCCTCCTCCTAACTTATTGTCAGTTCAAATGAGAAAAGTAGTCTTCCAGATACTACACCTGCCACCTGCTCTGTAAGTTACAAAGAAAGTAGCTATCCAAGAAGAAGAAAATGCAGAAACTTGTTTACAGCATCAGTATTTCCCAGACCATTATTTTCTTGTTATATTTTAAACACATGCATCTTCCATACGAAATTCAATTGTCGTATCAAGCTAAGTACACATACAAAGTAGAACTGGAAGAGATGACTGACTTTATTTTAAGTGAATTTTTCTTTTACAGTTTAGTATAACTGGAGGTAGATGCAATATTAAGTGATTTACTTCCAGTGGTTTGAAATAATAATCATCTATGAACATTAGAACAGAGTACTGGAGATTGGAATCCACTGTTTTAAGTTAAGCCTACATAAACATGCAAATGAAACAACAAGAAATAAATCACAGCAGGTTATATGATGATTGTCAGTACAGTAGAGTGCAGATCTTGGAGGAAAGGCTGTTTCTGTGTTGCCAAAATAGTAGAGCTAGCGCTGCAAAAAAATTATACAATGTATGCTACTTGAAAAGATATACAAGATTCAGAGCATTACAACTATGCCATTCATATTATTTCCCATGTATCTCAAACATCAAAATCAAGCTGAAGGGAATTACATGTCAAAAACATTTGTAATCTGCTATGCATGAATGTATTTCTGATCCCACAGGCAGGAATTTCATTTCATATATTCGTATGAAATTGGATACTGCCATTGTCAGGACTTTTGCCTTAACCAAGTCTATCAGCCTCACTTTCAGAGCTGTTAAATTTGTCCTCTTCAGTAGATGCCTTTGTGGGAGTAATGGAAGCTCCCAGCAACTTCAGTTTAAAATAGTTTTTACAATCACATTATACTATTAGTTGGTCCCTTCAACAAATAAGTGCTCGCTAACCTGTAACTGGGGAAAAATACTAATAATCAGACAGGACTTAGCTATGGTTTCTTAACAAAAATATGTAGTGGTACCCTTTCCTTAGATTTCTAGATTTGCAAAGGGGCAAAGACGGTCTGGTGTAATATAAATGACCAAAAAAAAATAGCAATAAAATGGAAAATGCTTTTAAAATAAAATCTGCAATGCTTTTTTTCTTTTAAGTTTCCCACAAAGTTTGCTGAAACGATGGATTACCCAAAATGCAGATACTTCCATAAACTGAAATACTAATATATATCTGCATATATGACCATACACTGCAATAAATCACAAATAGATGCTCAAGAACAGCTTAGAAAGAAAAATCAAGATTACATGCTCTCTGTTTTCTTGGTGCAATTTCTTGCCAGATGCATAAAATTTTGGGATCAATTAACAAACATGTATTAACAAAAATTAAGCATGTACTTAATTCAAAGTCCACAAGTAATTTTACTGGAATGAGTGGGACTCTCCTAGAGACTTTAAGATAAGCCTGTCATGATGCCTTCAAATCAGCAGGCTTAGAATGTCCTGCCTCTGGCAGTATGGAGTCCATTTCAGGAAATCAAAGTAATAATTGACCTCATTCTCACCCTTCCCTACTAAGAACAGAAACCTTCCCAAACAAAGTTTACAAGAAAGCTGTAGGCAAGCCTCACTCATCATGCAGATGTGATGGTCCTTTTAAAGTCAACAGGCAGGACTAACATTTGATCTCCAATATACAGAATACATACAATAAAACTTGCACTGGTTTTAAAATGGGAATGTACTTCCTGGCTCAGGAACTGTGAGTCTGCTCTGTAATGCACAAAATGTATTCATTTAATTTGTTTTCTTCTTAGTTAAAACCCAAATATAGCATTCAGTATAAATTTAAGTACTTTACTTATGGAACTGATTTATGTAATATTGGAAAGTTTACAAAATAGTACTAAAGTAGTAAATAAAAAGATCAGGTTTAAAATATTTACATTTTATACATCATTTCCCCCTACTTACAATTATTAAATAATCTTCTGTGATTTCCTTAATTTTAGGGAAAAGCTTTTAATAACTACAAACTAATTTTGTATTACTTTCAAATGGCTTTTGACTTAAACAGAATTTTAGCAAAATCACATTTCCAATGAGAAACATTATCCCCATGTTTTCAGTAGCAGTTATATATATATATACACACACACACACGTGTTTTATAGCTGTTTTATAATGCAATCCTCTTTTCTATAATAAACAGTGGAGATCTGAAATAAGAAAATGGCACAGTATGGATGGAAACATTATATTCCCAACTCTTAAATCCCTTTATATCATTTGACTTCTAGAATATCCAGTTTCTCGATAATTTAATGTTATTCTTCCAGTACTTTCAAGGAATCACAGATTCAATACTTATTTAGATTTTTGTGTCATCATCTTTTGAAAAGTTATTTCCTGAAGGTACTTCACAGAGACTATCACCATCCGTGCCGAAATCATCATCATCATCGTCATCATCATCAGAATCAGCCAACACGTTACTTGGTGACTTCTTCAGTCTACTAAAACAAAAATACGTCTTTGCTATTAAAACTGTACATCTACATGCAGAACACTTATGCAAACCTTAAAACACTGACAGGTAGAATTTACATTTTTAAAGGATGTCAAAGAAACTTGTGGTCCAACAGGGGTAGTTTATCATAGACTACATGCTACATGAGCTGCCCAGAGAGGTGGTGGAGTCACCATCCCTGGAGGCGTTTAAAAAACGGGTAGATGTGGCACTTCGGTATATGGTTTAGTCTGGTCTACCCTTGATTAGTCTAGAGTGGGCTTGGTAGTGTAGGTTAATGGTTGGACTGGATGATCTTAAAGGTCTTTTCCAACCTAGATGATTCTATGATTCTATGATTCTATGCAAGAGAATGAAGATCATTCAATCATATTTTCAAGCACCTCTAACTAAAGTCACAGAGAGGGTAAACTGTAAACTTTGCACATGGAGACGTTCAAAGATGGCTGAGGAAAACTAACACAGGATAGATAGCTGTACCTCTCAGTCATGAGCAGGAAACTTTTATTACTACAAATGATAACAGTCTTGAGTCCCACCACCTTTTTCCATTTTTATTCCCTGCCTCAATGACTTTATTCAGCAGGCAGATCTTGGAAAGAAGGTTTGGGCACCTAGAGCACCCTGGAAAGAGTTGGAGAACATTTGTAGAGAAAGGAAACGCAGAAGAGTTTCACAGGTCTGTCTCTTAACTCTGACTGCTTATGACAAACTTGAAGTTTGTTAGAGGAAGTGCTCAGTTTATGGACTAAAAGGGCAAGAGATCAATCTTGTGAGTGGTGCTGTGTTGTAATTGTAACGTCTGACAAGTCATCCTACCTTAATTCCTTCTTTGCAGCGTTAAGCTGCCCTTGCAATTGTTCATTCATGTCTAGTTGCTCTTCCAGTTCTCTCTGGAGTTTCTTTTTAGCACTTTCCAGTCTGTCTATTTCTTCTTCAGCTTCTTCAACTTGACGTTTCATTGCTTTTAAACGCAAACTCAACTGAAATATTTACATGTCAGCTGATTAGAAGACTATTTTAATAAAGGAATTTTATTCTTCCAGCATCTATGAGAGGGAGAATAAAGACACAACTTTGCCAGTGTAGTGACACTGTAATCCTATGCGTCAGAAATATTTGAAAGTCAGCATTAGATTTTGAGAAAAGCAATTGGATAAAATTTTTTAAGAAGAAAAAACAGCAACAAGCAAACATAGCTTTGGGAGAGTAACATAGTATTATGTGATAGCAAGAGCTGGTTATCAATAAGGGAAGAAGAGGTATTGGTGTGTCTAAGTTAAGCAACTTTACCAGACAAATACTATAAAATAGGTTTTAAAAACGCAGAGGATTTTAAAAGATTGTTTCCCTTAACAGATGTCTGCAATTTGAAACATACTGTTCATTCTCTAGGCAAAACATTAACTATTTGACTCGCATACTGAAAAAAAAATGTTTTAAGCAAGGAATCAACAAAGACCCAGGAATGGTAGAGCACATTGCTATTAGAATATCAATGTATGCTTAATACTTGTAGTCTATATTTACAATAACTTCTTTCTTTAAACAAAATTTTATGGTGGCAAAACAGAATGTATTATTTGTTTGTGTATGTATTTATAGGATCTTATGTTGCTGCATGTATTTATAGGATCATATACTGTCTGTTATTTGCTTTATTTCTTAAAATAATTATAGCATTGCTTCTGTAAGTGCTTCCTTTTCATAATTTTAGAAATGAGTAACAATTTAGCACTAGCCAAAAGAACATGATGACAATGGGAACTGCGAATCTCACTAAACAGGAGTTCATAAACAGAGTAATTGGTATCTACCTATATTCTTCGCATATCTTTTATATATGATGATTTATGCTAGTAGGATTAATATCAGATATTTGCATAGTAGTCTTTCCCTCTACCTGGTCCTTTTGATCAGTCAATGAGAGATGTTCATCATCTACTTGCAACATTAACTCCTTCACTTTTCTCTCAAGTCTGCGGTTACTTAATTGGAAATTAGCTCTATCCCTAGGAAAAACAAAACAAAAAAAAGACAGGCTTGTAAAAAAAAGGAACTGAAATACTTCCAATCCTGCTGACAATTCCTTAGCAATCTTCTAAGAATTAAATACTAACGGCCCCTGCTTTGATTTACTGATTCCATGCAACAATTTAAGAAATTTGTTCAAAAGCATGAACAACAAAGGGGAATTTCTTGTTTCCAGAGCACCATTTAGGGAAAAAACCCCACTCCTCCAAGATTAAACAATGAAGTGAACATGAAAATGGAAGCGTTAAAGTACATTTAATATTTCTAGGCCTGTTACTGATATTAGACATTGATAAAATAATGAGGTATGGAACCGTGTTAGCACTGTGCCCATTTTCCAATTTATACTTCTAGTGTACTTTCAGTCAAAAAGAAAATTTTCAACAGTTCTATGAAACAGCAACCATTTTAATTTGGTGCTTGTAAGGAAAAAGAAAATCAAGTTAATTGTACTAGAGACTTAGCAAGAAGCCATATTAACAGACATAAACATGCATATTTTGATCTTAACACAACTAGTTTCACCTCTCTTCATTTTCAAGTCGTTCTTCTAGCTCTGTGATCCTTGCTTCCATTTGAGCAACAAGTCCCTCTTTACTGGATCGGTAAGAACCCTCTAGGTGAAGGATTCGGCTCTTCAAGTCTTTGTTCTATAGTTAGAACATACTCAATTACTACATACATGCTCATATTAACAAATATCACCTTGATACAAAATAAATTTATCCAGGAAAACGTAAGGTAATCGGTGTATTTTTAATTTAGTAAATACGGAAAAAAAAGAGTCAGTGAGATTTTACTGTTCACTACAAACTAATCTTCTATTACTGTGCTTTATTAAAAAGAATTTAGTGTTAAGCTTGCATTAAAGTTTTAGGACCCTTGAACTTCAGATGGCTGCAAGCCCCTTCCAACAACATTTTTCAGTATGCCAAAATTTTTCAAATAGCATTAGATCTGTCCTATTCGCCACACAATTCTTTTGTCAAATTCTGTATTCTTCCCCTGTAACTCACTGGTGTACGGGTAAAACAAGTAGACAAAGAAGTTACTTGCATCCAGTATCGCTTTCCTCTCTCAAAGCTGTTACTCTGGGTTGTTTTGCTCCCTTTCTTAACTATCAAATGGTAGTTCTACTACATAAATAGTTTGAAAAACTTTGCAAGCTGCATGATTTGTAAAAGCAGACTTTTTTCTCAGATTTACACTTCAATTTTTATGAGGCTAGGTAATTCAGATTTTCAATGGGGACCTAATGATAAAGTTGCCATTAAAAAAAAAAAAAAAAAAAAAGAGTTACATGAGGAACAGAAAATAAAGCTCTTTGTTACAGAACTTCAAACCATAATCTCAGATCTCAAACACTAAAAAAGCTACGATAGAAAAGTCAGAACTGAAGTATAAGGATGTACATGGGATATACCAGTAGGTGGCATTCTTTTTGCTCAAACAAAGCAAAGATCAAAGATGGGATTAATGTCACATAATTTAAGGCACCAAATTAGGTGTCTGGTATAAACATGTTCTCTAAACTCCCATTACAACCTGTTTTACGTTCTTGAGACTGTCAATAATAATATGACTTGCAAAGATAGCTTTCCTCTGGATCTCAGCTAGGGAATATGATAGTAATCTTGCTTTCAAAGACCACTGAGCTGCAGAATAATGTCACAAAAAGATGGAAAGTATTTTTAATGTACTTTCCATCGCAGATATTGAATCATACAAGTGATATTCCTTCCTCGACAGAGAATAGCAGTTCTCTATCAAATCTGTAGCTTTTCTTTCAGAGGCATGTCATTTTTTCACTTGTATGCTCCTACAGAAGAAGATACTCAACTAAAATCACAATTCTTTGAAATTATGATCTACCTTCAGCAGTGTTCCTGAAGTACTGTCAAGACTTTGAAGAACAGCTCCTCCAAAAGTAGTCAAAGGATTTACAGCTGAACTGCGTAACAGTGTCTCTGATATTCTATAGTCTTTTCTGTATATATTCTTTTTTAAATTTTCTATATTGATATCTCAGTCTTATTCTAAAACAAGTTTACCATATCAACTGTCACATTTCTTATTTTTACTGTCTTTGATTCTCAAATGTATAGACAGAAATTGTGTGGTAGAGAGATGCCTGCACTCACTACAACAAAAATGTCTTATTATATTATATAAACAGATGTATGCATAGTATGAGTGTTTAGTACATGAAATATATAAACTGTGACAAACCTCAAGCTAAAACTAGGGGTACTGAAAGAAAAAAAAAATATACTACTAAGAGAAGACTTATTTCAAGATTATAACATTTCCTTTTGTGTATCAGTATTAAGATACTCATGGTTTTTAATCTATTCTTATTAACACGTACTTCCAGCAGCACACTATGGTGGGATAGTGCCAGCTACCAAATACTGTATTCCTTAAATGCTTATTTGAGCTTCCTAATGAAGGCAGATACCCAGCCTCTTATCTTGCTAGTGTGATAATATGCCAGCCATAATTACCTGTCTTTCCAATGAAATTTTGTCACACTCCAAATCTTGCTTTATAGCTCTTTCCTGAAGTAGCTCTGTCCTCATTTGTTCAATCTATTATAGAAAGAAAAGACAGAAATTTTAATAAAAGAATTAATTTACAATTATCTATATGATACTGTATGTATATACATATACACACATACATAAAATACCTATACCTATGCAATGAGAAAAAGCTTGCTTTTTCTTAGAACTCAAGACATACGCATTATTTCAGATGAAGTTTACAATTACAACCTCGAACAATATTTTCCACTTTGGGAAGCCCATGCTATTACCAGTACTTATTATAGACATTTTCCAGCCACATTGGGTATTGTTGATGTTCAGTATATATATTCTGTAGCAGGGAACTGAACTCTAAAATGTTGCATGACAGACATATCACGTGGGAGGGAATCGAGTTCCGGAACATCACATCAATCTTCAAACACCTTCTACAGTTTTCTTCATACTTCAGTCTGAAGCTCTGAAATGGCACCCTACCTTTAAGCTGCTGACTAGTCTACTGTGAAGTTTCACTTTACTGAACACAAACTGATAGCTACAGAGAAGTGCCTAGAACTCTGAGACACTCTACAGACAATTACAGTTTTCTATGTCCATGAGAATAGTAAAATCTCTTTTTCAACACTCTGATACATACTGGATATGAACATTGCTCCCCTCCTCCAGCCCATTTTATGTCTGTCATTCCAGGAGAGCACCAATTTCTGGATTTGGGGAGGGGGTGGTTTTTGTTTGTTTTGTTAAAACACAACTTTTGCCACAGTTTCTGTAAATATTTCAGTTGCATATTTAATAACCAAAAGGAAAGTATATTCTCCATATGTAAGATGTTAAAAAGCTATCTGATCAATACAGAATCAAGATAAGAATACAGAATTAGTTTGTTTTGTCTCACTATTGGACTTCACTGAGGAAAAAAAAAAATTCTGAGGATCAAATAAATTCTAAACTGCCTAACAGCTGCTACTGAAACTTTGGGGCTAAAGGAAAAAGTCTGTAGTGCCCAAATGCTTTTCTTGTCTCTCATTCCTACTGAGACTGCCCTCACGTCTTTACAATGCCTTTGCAGGCACAGCTAATGTTACCACAGCATTTGTACTATTGCCCGCACAATGTTTACTATGATGAATGTAACCTGGGGAATACAGTGAACATCTATGCCATTTACTGTACCTGCAAAAAGACCAACAAAAGTTTCAGTCACCACTGCATTCTTCCCTGCTTTACAACAGTTACATATGAACTTGCATAAACACACCATCACTGTTAAATCTGTAACTTAGAGCTGCTTATCTCACTAAAGGTCTTTCAAAAGCCACTGGGAATTCTTGCATTTAAAAAAATAAAAAAATTCCAAAAGCAATGCTAAGAATGTGAAGGTTGAACAAGTACAGCACATGAAATTTCACCTTAGGCCTTTTTTTTTTTTACCACATTATAATATTAAAAGATATATTTTTAGTTAATCACATGCTTAAAAGAAGTCATTTACACTGATTCTGTAGCTTTGAAATGAATATATGAATACTAACAATGGTAGCAACGCATGCAGTTGCATATGTTATGCCATAGCGTGGTTTCAGAACAGTAGAAGGCACTCCTGAAAACTAAGGTCATAACAGTTACTGGACTACAAATGTTAGCACATGGTTGCATTCTCAACAGCTAGGTAATTTCCTAAAAGCTCTCATTGTTGCATAGAAGCCTAAAAATAATAATTTTTTTATACATTATATATTAGAGT